CATATAAGCAACAACTCCCTCTCAACAAAGGAGTTGTTGCCACTACATATAAATAAGAGAGGGAAGAGAAACATGACACACAAGAGAAAAATAACCAAAAAGAAAAATTAGAGTGCCTTTCTCTCACAAAAGCCGAAACTTCTCTTTCTCTCTCTTAGAGGTTAGCACAAACCCTAACTCGATTTCTTATAGAAAAAATTACTCGTATATAATAGTTGAAGCTAACGTAGCATAATTTTTTTTTGTTTCTTGTATGATTGTTTGGATTGCGTGGAGTATCAATAGAGACCGGACACTTGGATGGTTCATTCCATAAAGTTTAATTATGTGATACAAGAGGTAATCACTCATTATTATCTTATTATATTTGTATGATTAGTTGATTGAATGGCATGATCTTAGAAACTTTAAATAGAGAAAACCAATTTTATTTATTTTGTACCTTTATAGGATACATGATCCTTCATCTCAAGGCTTTAATTTCTTAGCTACTCTTATTTTCTATAGGAGCCTTAAACTTTTTAAGCATGTTGAATAACTCAAAATTTTTTCTTTAGAAAATATATTTAATTCTTACGGTTATAGTCATCAATAAATGTGAAGAAATATTTATTTTTGCCATATGAGTTTAAATGGATTGGACCACAAAGATTTGTGTAGAGAAGCTTCAATGGCTTTTTGACTCTTGTTGTGGCTCTTTTTGGAGTGCTTTTTCTAAAGTGCATTTCAAGAAAACATCATCCACATCGTTGTTTAGGATGTTTGATGGTTGGAAATCTTTTTACCATTTTCTTTCATGAGAGCAAATTTAAATTATCAAAATTTATGTACTCAAACCTAAAGTTCCAAGGCTAAGAAATATCTTTCGCACATGCTACAAGGCATTTTGTAATATCATTTTGAATATTCAATGGAAATAATCTATTTTTTATCATTGGCACTTTGGTTATTAAATTTTTGCTCTCATCACTTCTCATGCAATATTTTTTTTTAATCAATTTCATAATTCTTTTCAAGAAGTTGTCCTAGGTTTAAGATATTATTTGTTATACTAGGCACATAGTCTAAGTCTTCCATCTTTCGAGCAAATAAGTATCTTATCTTTTTCTTTTACTAAAATTTTTGACTCATTTCTCTTTGATTGAATTGATTGTGAGCTCTTCTTCCACCATTACCTTGACCATGGTCGCGACCTCATTGGCTTATTTCATGACTAGTACTTTCGTCATTCTTTGAAGTGAGTTTACTTTGAAAAACTTACTTTAAAACTTCTTGATTCTTTCTTTTATGTCTCTTTTCATGGGTTTATGGCAAGCCCATAAGTTCATCAATAGACATAAATTCTAGGTCATTTAATTCTTCAATTACCACCACGATGTGTTTGAATCTTGGAAGCGAAGAGCAATGAATTTCTCAATAATATGAGTATCGTTTATGTCTTCTTCATATCTTTTTAGTTGGTTAGAGATAGCCAATACTCTACGGATATTATCCAAGATTGTTTCGGACTCATTCATGTGTTGAATTTTGAACTCACCTTTCAAAGTTTGAAGCCAAATCTTCTTCCCCTTGTGAAACCTTTGTTGAGATTTTTTAAGAACCTCTCATGCTTGCTTGGCAATAGTTGCGAAGAGACCTTTTAAAACATACTCTCACTACACATTGGTGGATGATTAAGAAAACTTGTTGATTCTTCTTGTGGGTCTTGTGCAAGACATCTTTTTGTCCTACTCGTCAAGGTAGGCTTATTGGCTAGCTCCTCATAGTATTTTTTTTATAATCTCTTAAGTATCTTGTGAGTCTAAGAGAGCTTTTACTCAAATAAACCAACTAGCATGGTTATTTTTAGTAAAACGAACAAAATTGGAATAGAAGCATTCCACTCGCTATCATTCTTGGTTTTGATTAACCAATCTCCGATAGCACTTTGTTGGGAGAATAACTAAATAATTAGATAGAAAAAACATGGAAATGATAAAATACAAGAATATATTTCACTAAGTATTTTTACACATACTAATCACTTACTATTATGGACAATAGACCGTCACATTCCTACTCACTTTCTTTACACTACTTGATTGATTATTTATTTTTACATAGAAATTATGACCAAAGGATCATATTTATAATAGTCAAATGATGATTATATTGAATCAAAAGGATAAATACATCATAAATACATCTAAAAAAAACTTCAAAAAAAAACTCTTAGAAAAACTTTAAAATAAATCTTGAATGTTGGCAACGCTAGATGGCTTGAGAAAAATCTTAAGAAGATTTTTCTAGACTTGGTCTTTGGACTAGGGGCATGGATTTAGGCTTTTGGACTTGAGACAAATCAAGTTTAGTTTCTAATAGATACACTATTGGCTACCGTTGCAGAGATATAGCAAGAAAAAACACAATGGTGGCATTCCTCATGGAGAATTTGCAGAAGGCACGAAATAGGATGAAACAGCAAGAAGATAAGAACAAGTCTTGAGTATAGTTTTCAGGTGGGTGACCATGTTTATCTCAAACTGAAACCATATAGTTAGACTTCAGTATTCTTGCGGAAGAACCTCAACCTGAGTTCAAAGTACTGTGGTCCTTTTAAAGTAATTGCTAAAGTGTGCATGTAGCTTATAGATTGGCTCTACCACTAGGATCTCATGTAAAGGAAGTTGGGAACCAATGTGATTCAAGTAGTGAGTTGGCAGCAACAAACGAACAAAAGGAGGTTAATTGGAACCCATGACTATTCTTTCTGGGAGGATGATCAAGAGGAAGAACGTAGTAGTAATTCAAGGGTTGATTCAGTAGTCTAACTTGTTACCAAAAAAAGGCCACTTGGGATCTCTCCTTTATTGAAAGCCAAATTCCAGATTTCTAGTATTGAAAGTCCTCGAGGACAAGGATCTTGTCAAGCAACACTAGTTACTTTTAATTCTGCCACGTCGTTTATTTCCATGATGTTTTAAAACGCTTGTTATGGTACCTTATAGGAGATCTTCTAATAGCGGGTGGAAGTTCATTAGTAGCACATGTCAAAACCTGTTTGGTTCATTCTTAACCAATTTGTTATCGTATAAGCTCACCCATGGAAATGGACTTCTTTAATCTTATCTTCTCTCTCCTGTCTCTATTTTCTCTTCTTCTTTTTTTCTTCCATTTGTTTAGCAGCAAAACATTAGAATCAGCTGGTTTCGCTACATACTGATCCTTAACCTTCTCATGCAACGTTCGACTTTCAAAATTTTCATTTGGTTGGGAACATTCCCAGAATTTGAAGCCTGTTTTTGCTCGATATGGAGAAGTTATGAGTATTAATGTTGCTAAAAAACTAAACCGAAGAGGAAGGAGATATGGATTTGTGAGATTTACAGATGTCTTTTGTCTTTTGCTTGACAGAATTTGAGAAAATTTTGTCTAAAAATGGATCGGGACATTTAAACTCATTGCCAAAACTGTAATTTTTGGTGGCAAGATAGGCGTAAGATAATACAAATATAGGGCTACAATCTATAAGCTGGCCATAGTTCGGCAAGGTGCAAGACCATACAAATGAGGGATTAATGGCAACAACCATTCTTCTCCTATATTCATATTTATTTAATGTGACCATTCTAATTTTTTTTATCACATTTTTTTACTCTTAAGATTTTCTTAATATATTTCTTTTCATAATTTTTCATCTAATTTTTCTATCAAAAGCGACATGTTATTAAAAAACATGTTACGTGTCATGTCATGATAATTTAGATTTATTTGTCATGTAAAAAAATATAAAAATAAAAACAAAATTTTGGTGAAAAAAAAAAAAAAAAGCCCAAGTTTAAAAATATTTTTTTGTATTTTCTCTCTTCAACACACTCGATCTAACCAAAACTCATCCTTTCCTTTTTCTCTTTGTTTTTGCTATTTCTATGTCCTTTAAGCCTTTCTGTATCTGTGTAACAAATTTGTGACTTATGAAAACAAAAATGCTCCCTGCATTTTGTCCAATTTCACAACTTGTCTACTGTGTCTGGACATGAATTCCTCAAGAAAAGACCATTAATTTTAAGCTGATATTAACATTTCTAACAAGTAAATAGTAGATAATGTAATTCATATCCTACTGCTTCCTCGACGATTGCTCTCAGAAAATCGTCTTGGTTCTCCTCTCAACTGCCATTTTCATTTAGACTATGATAGTGAGATTCCACATCAAATAACAATCATTTTCTGCAAATGCATGGTTGTAAATATATTTGGGTGTCATCTACGATTATATTTGGGTTTCAACTTCGATCCAACAAATTTGGATGTTACCTATTAGTTCTTGTAAGGCAATAAAACATTATTAGACATCATAAGAAGTAAAGTACAGCTAAAGGAGTCAAGCCCATTATGAACAATGGTTTATTTGAAAATTAATTCTGAAATTTTTAATTTTTCGTTTGAACTCTTTTGATTTTTTTTTCTTTTTTAGATTTAGTTCATCTATTATTTTATTATTATTATTTTATCATAAATAACAGTCGTATAAATTGCTCTATAATGAAACTTATTTAATAAGATTTATATAGGGGTTCTTAATAAATTTGGAATCGTTGCAGGTTACTTTTTAATTTTTTACTTTTTTTAATATTTATAAAATAAAAATATATATTTTTCGACATTGAAAAATTCTAAGATTTTTTTTTCAAGAAATGAATTGAATTTCATTCAACATTTATTCAAAATTACAGCTTCAAAATAATAAAAACTGATTTTTTAAAAGGAATGAGTGATAACTGAAAGTTATATAATAGACTAAATCTCCAAAAAAAAACAACAAAAGTCAAATCCGAAATTAAAATATCAGAAATTAATTTTTAGATATATTTAAATTTAAAAGAGATTTATCCAATCTAACCATAAAGTTTTATATAATAATGTTTAGAGTTAAAAGGCAAATGCAAGACATGACTTAGAAATTAAAGTTGGCAGAAAATTAATGAATGGATGAGTGTGAGTATTTTATTTGGAGTGGATCATAACAAGGTGAGGCCAGAAGAGAAGGCAATGCCAGCCATATTTAGGCCCTTCATATTAGAATCAGGTAGTGGGAGGCAAGTCCAGTGACTCCTCCTCATATCATAAGATAGCCAAATTATGTCCCATAAGCCATCATAATTAGAAAATAAAACAGCCCTAATAACCCCTTCTCCTCTTTCTAAACATCCTTTCATAACTCGATAAGGTTTCTTAATCTGCTCCTTTATCTTACAAGGAACCTTCGATATATATTCCCAGCTGCCATTCAAGCGCAAGCCCCCCATAACTCTATGTCATTCAGCATCCTCACCCCTGTATCCTCCTCACCATTGGATTTGATGACCAACATGTTCCCATCACCGTACACCTGTAACCGATCCATGAATCCGTCAGTTGCTCTCCAATTTAATCTCCGCCGTAGAACCATTGGTACATAATTATGATTATTATTATTATTATTATCAGCGTCACCCTTCAATCCAACGGCTGTCACCACGCTTTCATGAGGTCCATTAATCACGTGGAGAAATACGTGGTCATCCTCTTTTTGACAGCCACCTGGCAATCCATCAACCGGCTCCCTCGCTTCAATAGACTGCCATGTGTCAGTAGTTGAAGAGTACACAAACAAAACCGGGGAGTTGTGCACCAAATCAACGAAAAGAAACCGAAAATGATCCGACCCGGTAATAACCAATTTCATCCCGGATCTTCGCCAAGAAGAGGTGCCACGTGGACCGAGTGGGCTTGGAGGGATTTTGACTGTAGTCCGAGTAAGCAAATTAAGGGCAAAAACTTGCCTGCGAGTGTTGGAAACAAAAAGAAAAAAATTGCGACTCGCGGTGAGAAAATAAAAACTATCACCTGGACAAATGATGAGTTTCAATAAAGAGTTAATTTGAAAGTTGAACCAGCGATTGGATTGAGGGGTGAAGCCATGAAATATGGCATCACGGTTCCACCTCTTTTTGTAGACGAAAAGCCATGTGGTGGACCTTGACTGAGAATTATATTCACGTACAAAATTCTCGTCGGAGATTACATCCGCAATGAATCTGTTGAGTGACTTTAGACAAACGATATCAGGCAAAGGTAGATGGAGGAGTATGTTTTGTATGAGTTCTGAAGGAAGGAGGCAAAGTCCAATGGCACCATTAGTTTCCATGGCTAATAACGATGATTTTATCTTCTAGGTCATTCTATTCTAGCTAGTGTTGGTTGCTCTTACATGGAGACGGTTTAGTTGGTGTGTTAGGATTACCGGCTACTTATGATTGAATGCTAGCGATCGATGGTTTTGTTTCCATTAATTAATTAATAAATAAAAATTGTTAATATATAGGCATGAGTATATAAATTAATGAAGCTAGTACCTGGTTAATTAATTTGTTATGATGCAAATATAGAGGACAAATATCATGACAAAGCATCCCATGCGGATCCATGGTCTTTATATATATATATATATATATATATATATATATATATATATCATGGTGGGAGAAATGGACGGTGAGTGATCTGGGACGCATTATTTTTTATTAAAGGTGAAAACGTTTGTTAGGTAAGTTGGCTTGTTGCATCATATATCAAACCCAAAAAAAAAAAAAAGAACAAAAAAAATGAAACTTCTAAGAGTTGGGACACATTATTTGTTTATGATTTATTATTTTTTGAGTTTAAAATCTAAAATTAATATTTTAAAAAATTTATTAAATTCCTCAAAATTTATTATATTAATATAAAATATATATATTTTTAAAATTGTCTAAAAAATTTTAAGCTTGGTTAATATACAAAGTAAAAATATTCTTCTCATAAATAAAAAGAAACAAAAAAGACGAAAGGTCATATACTATCTATTACATGCTTGGAATGTCTGGACAAAGCACACAGAATATAGTATTAATTAATTAATTAATTAAGGGAATTATTAAGGAGAGGGATGTGTCATGTTGCTTATTTGAGGAGCTAGGGGGACGGCTGACACAGACCTTCCCTTAATGGCATTGGATATCACATTTTTCGGAGCTTTTCTGTATGGATTTTCTTTGTAGGTCGCTTCCAGTTTAACTTTAACACACAGTTAAAAATTCTACTTAAGAAGTTAAAAAATAAATATCGGTGTAATTGAAAAAAATTATGTTACTCTAAAGTAACTAATAATATTTAATTCATAAAAGAGATAAATAGAATAATAAATAAATAAAAATAAGGAAGAGAAAAATTTATGACAACAAGAAATCGGTATAATATGTTTTATTATATTCCATCTTCTGACTTTTTTTTTTTTTTATCAGTACTTGTTATCCTTGTTATTTATTGTTTGTCAGAAACCTAGTAGGTTTAGCTTTACGATTGAACCAGTCAAAACCCACACAGTTGAAGTGATGGCCCGATGACCCAGCTCCCTTCCATGGCTAGTTCGACGCCTTAGTTCGGTCTCACAACGATTTACTCAATTGAGAATTTAAGAAACTTTGGGAACCCAATTGAGAAAAGAAATTGTTGGAATGATTTCTTTCTCTTTCACTATCTTCGCTCTCAACGACATAAAAAACACACTCATTTTAAATTTAATTTAATAACAAATTTCATATCTATTTTACTGTGATTTAAAAATTTTCAGATTTATAATATAAAATTACATAATTTAAATCTTAAATTATTAAAAATTAGATAAATATAATTCAAATTGTTTAATGTCTATTATATATAACAATCAACTGAAAATGTCAAAATAATATTGTTTTGACATTTCATTGTTAATTATATTTTTTAAAATATATTTTTAACTCCTTAATCGTGAACTTTTAAAAAAAAAATCTTATAAAATATTATAAATATTTTTAACTCTTAATTTTGAATTTTTTTATAAAATATTATAAATATTTTATTAAAAACTTATATTTTTTATAATTTATAAAATTAGGAGTCAATCTTTAATCATGCTGATTTTTATTCATGAATTTTTTATATAGCTGATTTGCCTTTGATCCATAGATTGCCGCCTAAACATCATTGTATTCATATAGACTTGGGCATTGAAAGGCAATCTCCAACAAGGTTTTTGCACCCACGGACAACGAGCTTTTTGAGGTAATCTCGCCAGGGTCTTTATCACACAAAATTATATATATATATGAATTTTGTATTGTTATATGTATTTTGATAGTTTGATTTATAATATATATGAATTTTGTATTGTTATATGAATTTTGATAGTTTGAATTTTATATATATATATATATATATATATATATATATATATATATGATTTTTGTATTGTTATATGAATTTTGATAGTTTGATTTATAATATATTTAAACAATAAATGATTTTATATTATTATAAATTTTAAATATGGATTAATGGATTTGTATTTAAATTTTGATGTCTTGTTATATGGTATAGTTTTGTACTTTAGTCTTATTTAAATAAATAGGATAAATATATTCATATGTTTTTATATAATACTCAAAGTCTTTCATATGTTTTTAAATTTTTAATTGCATCTCATTTGTTTTTAAAATTGTTTGAAATGTTTAATATGTTCTTTTAATCAAATAAACCTTTTTTTAATCAAAATACCTCTGATTGAAATAGAAAAAAATAAAATTAAAAAAAATTAAAAAAAACTTTAAAAACAGAACATATAGGTCATGTGAGCTTAAATTGTTTTTGTTTTGTTTTATTTTTTTCATATATTAATAAAGAGCATTTTGATAAAAATATATATATATATCTTGATTAAAAAATTTGATCGGACGAACGGATTGAATATTTTAAAAAATTTCAAAAATAGATGAGATGCAATTGAAAAGTCGAAAATATATAAAAGACTTTGAGTATTATATAAAAACAGATGTATATATTTACCATAATGAATATTTATTATCTTTTATATAGGCTAATTTAGACTATTTGAAGTAGAAAAAAAGACTCCATAGTCCATGATAATTTTTTATTGGCATATTTACATTTATTTAAAAAAAAAATTAGTTTTTATCGAAAGTCTGAATAGAAATTATGTTTGGGTTTGGATTTTATTTTGATGAGCTTGGTTAATCAAAAATCAAGCAAAAATATTAAAATCAAAAAACTAAAAAATCGATTGCTTATCCTTGCTTCTTATTTATGTAACTCATAAACATAGAATGCTATGAAAAAACAATTTCCACACGGAATGAGCTAAAAATCACGGTAGCAAGAAAAAACCTAAGTCGCTTCTCAAAGACAAACTATGAAGAAAAATCCTCTTAAAAACCCTAAGAGTCGCTAATGAGTACAATTGTTCATTTAGTTTTTTAGTTAAAAGAATCTTTAAAAACAATTATCAAAACAAAATCAAAATACTGTTCGAGTTTTCAATTAAAAAACCAAAATTTTGGTTTTGGTTTTCGATTAACTCGGCTTTTAAATGATTTTTTTTTTTTTTTGAAAAATTTTTCCTTTTGTGACTTTCCAAATGTTGCCTAGGACAAACCATTTTTAATATGCATTAAAGCCCCTTTTTGAGATCATTTGAGCTCATTTGGCTATTTTGTTTAATAATTAATGAATCTTATCTAATTGAATTGACATTGATGTGAACCCACGTAGCTCAATGACTAGAGAACCCACTAACAAGCAAATATGAACCTATGAAAAGCTAAATCAAATTCAAAATGAAGGATATTAGATGCCACACTTCATAAAGGTAGAAGGGGAGTGATAAGTCTATGTGAACGTCACAAGAATGAAATTTTTTTGATAAGTTCAAAGGATGAACATCACAAGAGCAATTAGTCCTTAATATGTTTAGAAAGTTCTTGAAGAACTAAGAAGAATAAATCTCACATTAATGTTTAATTTCATTGATAAAAATTGATTAAAAATTATAACTTGTTTAGCTAAATAAGTCACTGGAATTCAAAAAGACAACTAGCATTAAAGTTATACAAAATCTATAACCATAATATTAGATCACTACAAAGCCTTGATGAAGTCTTCTTGAAATTGGTAGAAACTCATTAAATTCAACAACCATTAGTGTGGTCCAAATCTTGATGAATCTTAACTTGAAGAAAGATATAAAATTCTGAATTTGAAATGACTTGGAAGTGGATTAATTCAGTAGTTTTAACTTTGCTAATCTTGACCCAAAATATCAAGAAAAGATGGATCATAGAGATTAGATTTCAAGTCTGAAAAATTCGACCTAATAGCTTGGATAAGATGCACAAGACTCATCTAATGTTCTTCAAGCCCATTGATAGAGAATTCAGCCCACTGATGTTGAATAAGGCCATTTACGAACTCATAAATCTTCTTGGTCTTAACTCATGTGATTGAGTTCACTAGAATAGCCAATGGTTCGACCTCCTCAACACTAAACCCATGGCCAAAAGGTTGTTTGGCATTGGGAAACACATAGCCAGAATGTTGCTTGGTGTTAGGAAGCACATGACCAGAATCAAAAGCCTGTTTTAGCAATAAGTCATGGCCCGATTAACATGTATTCTCTCTTGATTCAAATGACAATTGAATCAGCCCATTTTGGTCTAACTTTAATTCATGTTATGAGCCCATTAATTTTAAGCCCAAATACAATTGACTCCATTTAAAACTTATTTCCATGCAAATCAGCTCATGTGAATTTTGTGACCTACATTTATTCATGGAATAATCCATTTAATCTATATAATACTGACCCCTCAAGATCACATCAGATATATACATGAATTTCTTCTTTAAGAGAAGAATATGATGCTTTGGTACTTGAATATGAGTGGTTCAATGTGATATGAAAATAAATTTGTGATCCCTCGTTAATTTCAACACTATCTTTTAGTAAGGTCATAGAGCATCAAAGGAACTCTGCCAGCAGTTGGAAATATTTGGTTCACATTCAGTAGCTAGGTACACGTGATCAATTTCAGAGTTCTTTTGAGTCCTTTGACGATGCAGGCTCTAATTTGTTGCCAAAATTGGGTGCGTTCTTCAATACCAATTGACCCTCACCAAGCACTGATGATGATGAAGCCTAGGGAAAAAATTGGGTCAGGTAATTTGTTATAGAACTGCAATTTATTACTTATAGATAATGTCTTTAAGCCACGATGAACAGAGCAATTTTTTATTTATGCTTTCAGAATTTGCTTCAAAGCTGACCATGGACGATTGATCAGTGGTGAATGATAAGGCTGATATTAATAGGCAAGTATCATTATAGTTATCAAAATGGTTTTAATGTTTATTACATGTTATGGAGAATTCTAATGTGTTAATTTTGTAGGTTATATAGCTGCTGCTCTATTGCTGGATAGTTGAATTTGGTTATTGACTTGATGTAGTGTTGGATATGCTAGATCCTACAATTATTGGTTCTTCAAGTCATTTTACGGTTGTTGTCAAACTGTTGAGTTTTGATTGTCGCAGCCGCTATATAAATCTGAAGAAATTAAACTCCTGAAGAATGAAGGCAGGCAAAATTTTAGACTTTTTAGTCAGTGACTCACCATGAACTTGAAGTCTAGAAAGTTGAGAGTAAGAGAAGAGCAGACGAGTGGAAGAGAAGGGACAGAGAGACGCCGGACGAAGGAGATGCCCAGGTCGCAGTCGCAGGAGGATCGGGGCTGGCGTCTGTACTCTGAATTTCGAAAGCAAGAAGATGGGCTGACGTTGAGAGGCAGAGGGCTGTCTGAGGAGGAGCGGGAGGTGAATGGGTGACAGCTGTGACATAGGAGAGCCGCTGGGCGGTGGAGGGGGAGGCGTCTGTTACTCTGAATTTGTGGAAGGTGGAAAGATTGCGAAGCGATTTGTGATTTGGGAACTGGGAGTAGGGTTTTTAATTTCTGAATTAAAACAAATATATTCAGTTTAATGGAATTTTGTATTTAAAAAAAAATATTAAGTTTCCTACAAAAGTGACACTGTTTTTTAGAAAAAATAATTATTTTTTGAATAGAAATATGGATGAAAAATCATAAAAATAGGTAGAAGTCTTTAATTGAAAACTTGTGAAAATTTAAGGGTGAAATTGATATTAAAAGTTAATTGGTGGCAAAATTGAGTCTAGCTATATAATTGGAGGATATATTTGAAAAGAGCTTGGCATGAATAGTTGACGTCTGGCCATGTATATTTTGGATTTACATGAGAATTGGGAGCACAGACGGGCCATTTAGCTACAAACCCATTACAGTGATGGTAAAGAGCTCAAAACTTATCTAAAAGGGAGGAAAACTCAGATATTTGTAATGGCTGCTCCTCTCACTCTCCACCACCATAGTAAACCTCCCTTATCTTCAGACTATCCCCTCCTCCTAAGAAACCCCACCTCCTCCTCTAGCATTGCAGTGATCACCAGCAGTCATGGCCAGAAGAGAACTAACGACCCAAATCAACCACACCCATGTATTGTTTCGATAGAAAAATGCTCCAACATGTCCCAGCTCAAGCAAATCCATGCTCAAATGCTCAGGACAGGCCTCTTCTTTGACCCCTTCACCGCTGGCAAAATTGTGGCCTTTTGCTCTCTTCAAGACTCAGGAAGTCTCCACTATGCTCGTCTTGTCTTCTCTCAAATCTCAAATCCCACCCCCTATACTTGCAACTCCATAATTCGAGGCTGCACTGATAAGAACTTGCATCAAGATGCGCTTCTTTTCTATCAGGAAATGATAGTTCAAGGCTTGATACCGGATAGATTCACCTTTCCGTCATTGTTCAAGTCTTGCAGGAATTTATCCGAGGGCAAACAGCTACATTGTCACTCAACAAAGTTTGGTTTTGCTTCAGATACGTATGCCCAAAACACTTTGATGAATATGTATTCGAATTGCAGATGTTTGGTGTCAGCTAGAAAGGTGTTTGATAAAATGGTGGATAAGACTGTAGTGTCTTGGGCAACCATGATCGGGGCTCATGCACAGTGGGATCAACCCGATGAAGCTGTGAAGCTTTTCGAGAGATTAATGGATGAGAGAGAAAACGTGAAGCCAAATGAGGTTACCTTGGTTAATGTTTTGAGTGCATGCGCAAGAGCACGAGATTTGGCAATGGTGAAAAGGGTTCATCAGTACATCGATGAGAAAGGTTTTGGGTTCCACTTGGTCCTCAACACAGCTCTTATGGACGTCTACTGCAAGTGTGGATGTGTACAGCTAGCAAGGGATTTATTTGACAAGGGGCAGCAGAAAAACTTGTTTTCGTGGAATATCATGATTAATGGGCATGTTGAGAATGGTAACTATGAGGAGGCTTTGCTACTGTTTCGGGAGATGCAAATCAAGGGTGTTAAAGGTGATAAGGTGACCATGGCGACCTTGTTGCTCGCTTGCACCCATTTGGGTGCTCTCGAGCTGGGTAAGTGGTTACATGCCTACATTAAGAAGCAGAGAATTGACGTGGATGTTGCTTTAGGAACAGCGCTTGTGGACATGTATGCCAAGTGTGGAAGCATAGAAACTGCGACTCGAGTGTTTCACGAGATGCCTGAGAAAGACGTAATGACTTGGACAGCTTTGATTCTTGGTCTTGCAATGTGCGGGCAAGCAGAGAAGGCTTTACAGTATTTTGATGAGATGCATATTAAGGGAGTAAAACCAGATGCAATCACATTTGTAGGGATTTTGGCTGCGTGTAGCCATGCTGGATTTGTGGATGAAGGAATTTCGCATTTCAACTCCATGTCTGATACTTATGGCATCCAGCCTGCCATTGAACACTATGGTGGCTTAGTTGATATATTAGGCCGAGCTGGTCGCATAGCTGAAGCTGAGGAGTTGATACAGCGCATGCCAATGGCACCTGATCGTTTTGTTTTAGGGGGTCTTCTCGGTGCCTGCAGAATCCATGGAAATCTTCAGGCTGCAGAGAGAGCAGCTAAACAACTCTTGGAGATTGACCCATATCATTCTGGAACCTATGTACTTATGTCAAATATTTATAAATCCATGAGGAAATGGGAGGAAGCAAAAAGAATCAGGGAATTGATGGCAGAAAGAGGCATGAAAAAACCTCCAGGTTGCAGCCAAATCGAGGTTCAAGGAGTGGTCCATGAGTTTGTGAAGGGGGATTCGTCACACCGACAATCCTTGGAAATTTACGAAATGTTGGAGGACATGATTAGCAAATTGAAGAAAGCTGGTTATGTTCCTGACAAATCAGAAGTGCTATTTGACATGGCCGAAGAGGAAAAGGAGACTGCACTTAGCCTCCACAGTGAGAAGTTGGCAATTGCGTTTGGGCTCTTGAGTACCAGTTCCGGGACTCCGATCCGAGTTGTGAAAAACCTACGTATGTGCAGTGACTGCCACAGTGCAACTAAGCTCATCTCCAAACTATACAATAGGGAAATAATTGTGAGGGACAGGAACCGGTTTCACCATTTTAAGGATGGATCCTGTTCATGCAGGGATTTCTGGTGACGTGATTGTAAGCATCAAGAATTGTATGCAGAGCTTTCATAATTTTCACTACTGAGCACTATAACCACAAAAATGAACAGCTCTTTCAGTACCAGATCCAATCATCTTGAAGATTTAAAAGTGCTCTGCAGCCCCCAAAAACATAAAATGATGCTTTGGGGCTAGAATGCAGAAAACCCTATCACAACTCTAGTCTTAAGCTCCAAATAAGTTGTACATGCATGGTTAGAAAAGGAAGCATATACTTCAGCACAAGGCAAGGAAACACTAATCCTCATGCTCTCTTCCATACAAAGACTGGAAACGATTCTGGATGGAAATTATTCAGAGACAAGAAAATAAATGTTAGGAACTAGTCCAATTTATACAGGGATTCTATTATTAGTATTATTATTTATTTGTATACTGAATTAAATCTTAAAAAAATCCTGGCAATTAAGTTCAGATGCATTTTCCAACAAATTCCAAGGGTGCAATCTAAAGCACTGTTTCTTAGCAAAGCAAATGCAGAGATGGATGCTATCTAGGGTTAAGCACTGACATCAGCTTGACAAAATTTTGATTAAGAAACCAAGCTTGTTCACTCTTGGGTAGAACACATGTTTACCCATGGTAACCGAAAAAGAGTGACGGGCCAATGCGTTCCATGCATATCAGAGATCACAAACCAAACTACAAAGGCTTGTATGCCTAACAAAGGTTAAAGAAAAACAAATGAAGAAACCAATCTCATTCACTCTTGAGTAGAACACATGTTTACCCATGGTAAGCAACAAAGAGTCACAGGCCAAAGCTTTCTATGCATATCAAAGGGTAGTCTGAATTTATGGGAGATGGCAAATCAAACTAAGAAAGCTTGTATGCCCAACCAAGGTTAAAGAAAAACAAATGAAGAAACCAAGCTCGTTTACTCTTGGATGGAACACATGTTTACCCATGGTAAGAGACAAAGGGTCACGGGCCAAAGCTTTCCATGCATATCAAAGGGTAGTCTGAATTTACAAGAGAAGGCAAATCAAACAACAAATGCTTGTATGCCTAACCAAGCTTAATGAAAAACAAATGGAGTTCACCCTGAGCAGGTTTGTATCAAACTTGGAACACGACATAAAACAGACCACAGTGCCCCATGTCAACTGGCACTCTTTGTATGCTGTTGGAACCCACGTGTATGCCAACGACAAGGCAATTCAATCAAGTGCAATAATTAGAGGAAATCATTGGAACTACACAAAAGAAATTTAAACATAAAAAAGAACCACTGATCAGGCTCTCATGTATTTCTTATTGTCTGAATTACCAGATATTTTGCTGATCCCACTTACAGATGCTCAAAAGTAAGGTAATGTGACAAAGAAACTCTTTTAGCTGGAGTAGTAAAAAAAAAAAAAAAGCCAGAGTAAGTTCATCATCTTCTGATGTGCCAAATATGTACTGGCAGCTCATTAAAGTCCAGACCAAGAGTTGATTCCTACCCAATCTGGCTACATCTCATAAATATCTGGCAATTTGTTCAATAAAAGGCCAAACATAAATCATAAACTCCATAGCAATCTTAATTTAACTTAATCATATGAGGCATGTGAAAGGTCCTGAGTGTAAAATAGGGCCAAGAAATAGATTGATGTCCACCCTAAAAGAAAGAGAGAGAAAAAAAAAACTCAAATTTCTAATGTTATCAGTCTTGAGCCATAACCCAACTCTGAATAGAGGTGAAGAGCAATAAATGTATACAAAAGATTTAAAGCTCACCATTGGGATTAAAAAACACTTCTCCATGAAATGAATACTACCCAAACAGTAATAGATGATCAACAAAGCAAGCAATCAATTATCAATTGTCAAGTAGATAAGACATAAACTAGAGAGCCTATATAACTTAAAAGGACAATTTTCATACAACTAACATAATCACTTAGGGATTAAGATAAAACCTCCATACGTCCCAATAATTCTCTTGAGTCATCATCAATCCTCAATAGATAAAAACATATGAAAATAAGAGTCATCACACAAAAGCAAGTTTACCAATTTCAGTCCCTCTCTAATTTTCTTCATCACCATCAGTTTTTGATTAGTTGGTCCTCCTCGTCACCATCATTTTCAAGGTCTGTCTGTTTAGATAAAGACTCACGCTGCAATGGAGCACTGCCAGCTCCAGTAACTGACTGCTGATAAAGAACACCTCCAGCAAGCGTGAACATAAGACAAAGTAAACCAACCGGGCTAGCATGTTTATCCCAAATAAACACATTGATGACAACAGTAAGAAACTTATTGACCACCCCAGTGACAGTAAATGCTGTGGCCGATATTGCCTTCCTTGCAGCAAATCCAAAGAAACTAATAAGCAAACCAAACACGCACGACAATGAAACGGCAAAAAATGCAGAAAGTTCAAACCAATTCCCAGGTTTTGACAAAGCAGCAAACACCTCACTGTACTCTCCCGTAAGAATCCAGAAGAGCGGCGCCATCATCAATGACAACAAATTGTTGTAGAATACAAGACCCCAGGTGTTGAGTCCAATATTGGAGACAATGTGTTTGATATAGACCATCTCAGAAGTAATAGTGACTAAATAAGCAAGTGCCCAAGAGTATGCAGTCAAAGTAAAAGCAGAATCAGTGGCCACATACCCAACAGCACCACCCAGTATAACAAACAAGGAAGTAAAGGTAAGCTTGGATGGGATGGGTTGTTTTCTAAACAGAATATCTGCCACAGCCACCAAAAGGGGTGTCAAGGATCTGAACACAATGAAGGTGTCCACATTGGCATGGCGCAGAAGATTGGTATTGGTAAAGATAGCAAGGTAAAATACGAGAGCAGCAGGTAAAAACTTCTTTGCAGTTTCATAAGTGAAGGAATCATGGTGTAAAAACCCCAATTTGCCTAAAACCCAAACACCCAATACAGAGGTGAAGTACTGTAATGCAGTTAAAAGGCCAGGGTAGTTGAATTTGGTAATTGCATACTTGTTAATTACAGCAAGCAAACTTGAACAAAGTGCATAACCCACCACAAGACTGCTCGTCGCCAATTGCTTGCTGGAATCCACTCGAATCGAAGACATTCTGATACTCCTCCTCTTCTTCCTTTTCTGTTTGTCTGTCTGATATATATTCTTTAGCCAAACAAACAGATCGAAGCGATCCTAATAATGTTTGCAAATTACAAAAAAACAAGAAGGCGACTTCCTACCAAAAATTAATGTTCTAACTAATTGATTCCAAGATTCTGATTTTACAAAAAGAAAGGCATAAAATAGAAAGAGATTAGGAGTCACCGACAAAAACAGTAAGGCAGATCTTGTAGAGAGACAGATGAACGCGGGATTTGCAAATGAAATGAGAAGAACTAGTGGACTGCTTCAACCGGTATAATGTCTATGAGCAGCAATTTGGACAGACAACATGGGATCCTGTTTGTTTCACGCCACACAGCGCTAGTACTATAAAATATAAATAGGCATAATTACAAATCAATCCCCAACCTATATTGTTTTTCATAAAATCGGTTTCTATAATCTCTAATATGTTATTTTGAATTATCTATAACTATTATTTTTAGCATTTATTAATTTGAATTTTTTTTTAATTCCGAAAAGTGTAAAATAAAGCTTGATAATTTTTATTTATATTAGTTTGTTTGATTTTTTAAAAAATGTAAATGAACTTTAATTGCATTTGAAAAAACATTATAGACATAAAATAGTTAGTACTCATATATTAAATGCATGTGTGTAACTAATTATAGTTAGATCTCTTAAAAATAATAATTATAAAAAAAATTGCATAAATCTATTTACTAGTATAGTTAGAAATTGAAAATATATTTTTCTTATCATATGTTAAAAAAAGAAAATCACAATAGAAGAAACAAAAAGGGAAAATAAGTTTTATTTTTTATTATAATGTCATGGATAGTTGTTGTAATTAAAAATTAAAACATTATTTTTATTTCATTTTAAAATTTAAGCTAGTTTAAATTATATGATGAAAATAAGAATGATCAAACTATCAAATATAAATATGATGTGTTGGGATCTCTTATATGTAATAAATATAATTCTATATTAATATGCAAATATGATAATAAATAATTTAATAATATTTTCAAAGTTTGACTTTGATTACATATATTTAGTAAATATCTATAGTTTTAAGATCCAATGCTAATAGTTAAGCTTTAATATTACGAAATTGCTTTTCATTTTTCTACCATGATTAACTAATATCATTACTATAATTTTTTAAATTATTTTATCAAAAATAGTCATCTATTCAAATAAAATATATTCATATTGTATGAAAATGCTGTGTGCATTACGTGAACAAAAGTTTTATTCAAAGTCCTACTAACTTTTAGTATAATAATATGACATTAGAATTAATCTTTTTATTTGAGAGAGTTATTTTTAATTTTATGTACTATGAATAGAATTTAACAATATAGACACGATAAAAACATTTATGAACTTTTATTTTAACAAATCTATTTTCTAATTACCAAAATTTGTCAAAAAAATAATAAAATTTTTGTGGATCTTTTTTTCCCAAATGTACAAAGTAATATAATACGATAATAAAAAAAAAATTCTATAAGAAAATAAGGATCCAATTTAATGAATTTTGATGTAGTTTTATTTTTATCAAATTTTAATATTATTGGTGTTTTGGAGTTCTTTTTAAGTATTTTTTAAAGTTTTTATAAAAAAATAAATAAAGTGCTAATAATGTACTATATATGTTATGAGTGATTTATGAATCTTATTTTATGTCATTTAGGGTTTTATATGGTTAATAACTAAGAAAATAATGGGAAAATGGGATTAACCTATTTTTTAGGTTTTAATAACTTCTCTTTTAAGAATTTTTTTTTTTTACCCATTGGCTGCTTCTTCTTTTTTCTCCCTTAATTAGAGGTAGAGTGAAATTTAGATATTATTATATACTGTAGTATTAAGGTTATAATAGACAATCAAAAAATTTTAAAGTTTTATATTTTAATATATAGCTATGGATAATAGATAAGTTTGTCAAACTTTGAAATCTTTCAAATTCTAACTCTACCCTTTCAGTCTTTTTACATCTTAGTCACTCTTTGTCTTTTAAAATTCATTGATATTTATAATTAATATTTAATTGAGAATTCAATATATATATATATATTACACGTTAAACCTTTTCATTTAAAAAATAAAATTATATTTCTTTAAGGTATCGATAATTGAAACTCTATATAACATATAATATAACTTGTTACACTTGGATCATGATCAGCAAAAAGTCATGCCATGTTGCAATAAGTTATAGGTCAAAGAGAAATTTGAATAAAATATATAGAATGATTTGCGGATCATGGCATGGTGTTTTTTTAATATTTTTGCTTTTAACATACATATCGATTAAAGCAACGTGTCCTTTCAGTTGAAAGAGATCTTCATTAATATTGTTTAAAAAAATTAACCAACATGTTTTTTTTTAATATGTTACCATGCATATCAATAATTATTTAAAAGAAAATAATTATACCCTACTAATTAAGAATCACGTATTTCCATTTGCCATATGCATCCTTTTATTTGAGTTTCCCAATAATAGATAGCATTTTGAGATGACCCATTATAAAAGCACCTTCATGTTTATTCTTAACTAATGGCTCCCTCCTGTCCCAGAAGGATTTTTAATTGAGTTGTATAATTCCCTTTCTATTTTAATGTCAAGTCGTTATGCTTTTTAATTTTTTTATTTTTAACAAACCTACATGTTAAAGTAATAGATCTTCTCAGTTATGAGGTGTCTTGATTATTGTTTTTAAAAAAATGAACCAGCGTTTGTTTTTTTTTTTTTTAGACTTTTTTGTTAAAACTAATTATTGAACCAATTTATCTTTCCTCTTTATATATATATATATATATATATATATATATATATATATATATATATATCATAAGTGCCTAAGTCAACATATTCAACAATAGATACTTTACGTCTATAGATGAAAAGAAAAATTACGTCGCTAATTAGTGATGATTTAGTCATCCCAAAAGTGTAAAATTTTCATCGCTAAAGTGAAGTAAATGATCATCTCGTCATTCTATTATCATGTTGCAAAATCATCACTAACTAGAGATGTAAGTGTTGTCGCTAAATCGTACTCACTAAAATTTCTCATAAATCTATCGTTATTTAGCGACCATATATGTGTCCATCGTAAAGAGGTTTAATTTTTGTGGCTAATCCGTCGCTAAACGAAGAAAATTTTTTTTATATAAATTAATGGTCATTTAATGTTAATAGTAGAAAAAAAAGTAAAAATAACATTTTATTAAAACATGAGATATTATTTAGTAAAATTAGAATAATATAAATTAAAATCAAATAAATATATAAATGCGTTAAAGTGTATGAAAACATTAAAAATCTTTTTTAAAAGAAAAAAGAAATCTAGTCCTCCTCCTCATCATCATCTTATATATCATATTTTGACTATTGGGTTTTTTAAGGAATGGCCGACTCTCGGGTTGTGGGCGGTCAACGGAAAGGATACGAGTACGCTACAAGTCCCGTAACAACTCCATCACTATCTACATTTGACTATGTAGAGTGTTGAATTTGCCTATCTATTTTTGAATGATAAACTCTATCTCCTCGATCCTATCTTCATATTAGGCCAAAAAAAAACCTCATGAATATTACCATTAGGAGACTGCGAAGTAGTAGAAGAAGAGTTGTTGCTAAAATAGGAGTAAAATTGAGACGCATGTGATCCGAGGTCATACACTCTCTGCTTCTTCTTCTCTTTTATAGCATTCAAATATATTTTAGTCATGTTAATATTTGGAGACTCGTGAATTACTCTCCTAATTCTCTTTAGTAGATATTTCTTACATTGATCTGCACGGGGCTCCTACATCATTGTAATATTAAATCATAAATGTATTTTTTAGATTATATTGATAGATGTATATTTATAAAAATAAAAAACTTACCATTATTATCCGGGATTGTCTATCGATGAATGATTTATCTTTACGCTTATGAGTGATCATGAACAACTTATAAGGATTTGAGTTACGATCTAATTTATTATACTAGAAAAAATAGATAAAATAACATGAGATGTAATAAATACAAAAAATTAATTTATAACGCAATGGATAATAGGATTTAACAAATGTTCGGTGTGCTCAATCAAAGAGATGAACCCCCGTATGCCTAGATGAGCTAACATTGACACCATCCATTCCAACATGCGGTTTTGAAACACTTATTGAGATCAAGCTTGAAACTCGGATATGACCCAATCCCAATTCTATGCTTCCCAAACTTGTTTTTTTTAACAAACATGGATCCGTTAGTCTTATGCTTCAGCTTGTTCGGCATGTTGTCATACCATCTTCATGCTAGACTCTCCCACGCATCCTTGATTAGTGCTTCGAAGGTCGCATCCCATAAAATATACTTCTATATGAAGAAAAAAATAACATTAGTATATTTCATGTTAAATTAATAATTTAAATAAAATATAAATAATTAATTAATATATTACCATAAACTTATTAAAGTAGAAGTCATCAATTTTCATAGAGACAAACTTCCATGTGTAGCAGGGAATCGCTCCTTGAAAATTATAATGATTTTTATGGAGTATTTACTTAATGGAACCAAGTCTGTTGAAAAAAATAAAAAAATAATAAATAAGTGAATTAATGATTGTAATATAATATATGAAAATATAAAACTAATTATCATATGTAAAGCATATTACTTACCGGTTATTCACGATCGAGTGGTCCGTCTAGAATTAGATTCGATAGAGCTTCTTAAAGTTGAGAAACCATCATAGGGACCTTCGCAACTTAGGGCACTACTAATAGGGGCATTAACGGTGAGGACACTACCGGTGGAGATGTTGATGTGTTGATGCCACTATTAAGTCTACGACCTCGAAACTTGCACTTATAGTGCCATATCCATATACAAAGCCACTATCGGTGGCATGATCATAGACACTATCGTTACTAGTGTCACGACCATGAACACTATCACCATCAAAGCCACGACCACT